GCAGCGTCAAGTTTGTATAAGATAAGAAATAGAGGAATGTCTGTGCCAGGTTGGAGCACTGATCAAAATATTCTAATCTGCTGCTTTGGAAGAAAGTAAAGCTCCTCTAATAACTGCTTACATAAATACACCCAGGGGTGAAGTGTCGTCTTCACCGCCAGGCAGAGTGGTTGGTTTTGTCCTGCCATGTGAGGGCTGGAAGATCATGCAGCGTGGCTTGTCATTCCCTTCAGTGCTACTATGGATTATGGTTTTACTATCCATGTCTTTGTTTCAGTTTCTGGAAGACAGTAAAATACTGATAGTAGGAAAATTAGATGATGCTTATAGTATTGTAACTGAGGAATTACAGTCTGACAAGATACTGTCCTTAGATAAATCTTGGCCTCCAGAATACTGCTTTTACTTTACTGCCGGGGGGGATTTTTGCCTGTCTCCATTCTTGCACGCTGCCTGTGTTCTGCATTGATGTAACTTTTCGTGGAGGCTGAAGGGGTTAATGCGGAAAGAGATGACAGATTAGTCTGGGACGGGTTGTGATTTGGAGTAAGAGAACTATCCCAAATAGCTGGCCAGCTGCCAAGTGGATGGATGATTTGGAAACATCCCGGCAGAGCAGTGAGGTTCTCTGGAGCAGCTCTGGGTGAGGATTATCTGTCAGTTTGACTGCCGTACTATACAGTCGGACTTACCCGAAGTGCCTTTAGCTTAGATAAAGAAAAATGATTAGCAAACAGGTATTTTATGTCTGGGCTGCAAATAAATTGAATAAGAAATTCCTTTTCTTTCCCTCCAACATATATGTAAAAAATAGGGGAAAATATTTTGATTAGAACATTTTCATTCCCTTCTCTTTTCTTTTTTTTTGTTGCTGTTCTCCAGCCAGCTGTTGAGCTGATGAAAAGTGTGGAAGGGCTGCGAGAAGGGAGAATTTCTGAAAGTCAGGCACATTTCTGAGGAGTTGAATGATTCAAAATTGAGTTCCACATAATTCACCGGGGAGCTCTTGCAATACAAATAAGAAGTCTGTCAAGCAGTGGTGCAGTTGTAGAGGTTATTTCCATCTTAACTCTCCTGGGCACAGCTGGTAGGTGGGATGTTTCAAAAGGGGGAAATGAAGAGTCAGGAATACAGTGATTGAGCTCCCCGCAATACCAGATCAGCATTTTGGTTTTGTAGGTATATAAAAATGCTACTGTACTTTTGAATTGTGAATTTTAATTATTGCAAGCAATTAAAAGCTGCAGGGTTTTTTACCAGCTGTTCATTGACCTACATGACACAAGTCAATGGCCTCAGTCCACTTCTCTTTGAACAAGGAACCACACTGAAAATATTGCCGTTACGTTGGACTTCCTCACTGGCAGTCTCTGCTGGGAGGAGGAGGGCTGAAAGCGTTAGAACAGCCAACTTTCTTTCAAGCCCTTCTTTTTGGAAAATTTTGCGCTATTGCTAATATCTGCCAGAGCAACACCAAGAGCATTAGCGAAGGCAAGATATTGGGGCAGCCGTAACTGCTGGAGTTGTCAAAACCTGCTGATTCCTTTGCCAGGAGGCACCTGGAGCTGTGTCTGTCCTGACATACTCGGTGTTGCTTGAGTGGAGCTCTACCAGTGGGAAAGTCTCCAGATAAAATGCCAGTGTTGACATCGTTGTGGTCTCTCTAGTCCATGGTTCAGACACATCACTAGAGTAGTATGAGGGGAAGTTTCCATTAACCATTGTTCCCAGCTTGCATCCACCACCACTGTGGAGTTCTGCAGCTGGATTTCCAAAAGAGCTTAATGCTCAAGAGCTCTCATTTCAGCGACTCCAATAGAGGGGCTAAGTTCTTTCCAAAACACTTGGCAATCTCAGTCCTCATTGAGAACAAAGCTAAGCACATTAAACAGTCCAGCCGCTTCACTGTTGTGAAAATTTGGCTGCTGTTGTGAGTGCAGAGTGCTTAAATAACAGAGAGACTGGCCACAAAGGCATCTGGCTCTGGTGCTGAGCGGTGAGGTGCTTTACCTTCGCCTGGCCTTGGCAGCTGGTGTTGTAGGTTCCTCCTTGGCTGATGCCTTGTGCATCACAGCCCCTGACCAGCTCTTTCTCTGGATGTTGTGACAGCTGTGAGGCTTGCTGATGTGAGGATTAGTCTGCTGCTGGGCACATGACGTTCAGATTGCTTGTGCTTATTTGACCTGCCTCTGATTGCGAGGAATTTAGTGCATAAAAATAACACCCTGAACAAATTTGGCAGAAGGATGCACAGCCAAAGTGCCGTGCACACATGGGGAAAGGAGCTTGGGGAGCAGTGTAACGTGAGGCCACGTACTGTACTCCTGCAGTAATAGCAGTGCCAAGTCCAGCACAGCCCATGCTGTTGTCTTGGGTCATGATGAGTTCTAGCACCGCGTAGATGTAATGGCCGTTAGCCAGTAAACTAACAAAGACAGGTTCCTGGCTTGTATTATTGGCAAAACTTGATAGAATAAATAAAAAGATACCAAGTGACAGGAGTTGCCTAACGTAAAGCGCTGGACAAGGAAATACTGTTTTTTCTGACTGGGGTTTTAGACACCCTTATTAACTGTTGTTCTCAGAGGAGTTCCTGGTCGTTTCCAGGAGCGTGATAGAACAGAGAGTCACCCCGTGTCGACTGGTAGAGGTGTGTGTGCAGGAATATCGTACAGGGCAGTGGTCTGCAGGCTCCTCGCTGATAACATTTCGCTGTGTGCGTGATTCGTTCAGGCTTTGCACTGGTGAATGGCGTTCACCTTGAATGGGCTTCGCCTTGGCACCGGGGACGTGTTGTGTTTGCTGAAGGACCAGGTCTTTAGTAGTGAGAGCTTCTTATGCTGGGGGAGTGCAGTGTGTGCTCGTAGGGAACAAGGCAGGATCTTGATCGCTGCAGGTTGTTCTCCCAGATCACCTTGGAGATACATCGCTCTTTCCTTTATTTTACTGTCGCATTGGTGAGACACAAAACCTCAATTTCTCAGGCTTAAAAGGAGCATTTTTGCCCTTTCCTTTTTAGAGACATCTTGTGCAATTTCTTTAAGCCACTGATTACAAAGCTCATGTAATTGTGTAATGTGGCACGTTATAGATAAATGATAATATGTGAACTGATACCGGGTATCTAGAACTTCAGCAATATTTAAATACAGACTCTTTTGTTTAGGGCAATTAGAAAGCTGGGGCAGATTTCACAATCCACTTGGCTTTTAGAAACACCCTGCCTGCTCACCAGACATATTATAAAAGTATTCAGAGCTAGTGTCTTGCCTTGTTTTTATCTGTATTACAGAATTTGCAATATTTGTACGTGCATATGTCTGTATTTCGTGTGCCTTAAAAAAATACCTGGCTGCTCTGGTACAAGCATACTCACATCAAAGGAAGCTTTCCTGCATTTAATCCTTTAAATAAGCCTGTTTCTGCCAGCCCATATATCTGAAATGAGATTAGCCATCTATTTAAAGCAAGGCTACAGGAATGC